ACAAAGGTTGCGCCGATCTCGGACCGCTATTCCTCTCTTAACGAATTTGACAGAATCGTTGTTTGCATGACGTCACACTGGTGCAACTTGTTTACGTTTTCCTTGCAAAATTTTTTCTTCTTCTTCCATTCTTGCTCACGTTTTGGCATTTCTCTCTCGCGATTGCACCAGTGTGACGTCACCCAAAAGTTATTCTCAAAAATCCTCTCTGATCGGCGCAATCTTGTATTCTATCATTCTTGGTAGATATGTACATCAGCTATATAAGCAATAGTACACCATAACCACAGCTAGATATTGTGGGAAGTTTAGAGCATTTAGAATATTTTAACATACATACCACAGCCTCATCATTCTAATTAGGCAGTTAGTTGTAGAACATGTCCTTCATAGTGAATTTCATCAATCACCGTTATGTTCGGTCCCTGAGAGATATGCATCGGCTACATAGTCCTCTCATATCATTTATTGTTTGCATACCGCTTCCCCACATAAGACACCATGTAATATCCAAATCATATAAATAACTAGGAAATGTTACAAAACCTGTAAAATGGGGGCTCAGAAAAAGTTTGAGGTGAAAAAATATCTGAAAAAATTCCCATAATCATAATGTGACTGTACACTACATATAATAATGTAGTAAATATTCTGTTCAACATATGTCAAAGCAAAAAATATTACCGCTAGAATATAAATATTATGCCATAAATATATTTTATTAAAAATATGTCATGCCATAAATTGTGTTATGTCAGAAGTGCTAAAAAGCCAAAAATGTGTTTCTTTCCTCTGCGATGAATACTCTTTGATGTTATTCACTTTGATTAGAAATAAAACATATTGTTGGCGCATTTACTTCTTAACCTCCTACTAAAATATTACCGCATAAATTATGTTGACTCAAGAAGTTGCTCGTAAATGTCAACGTGATATCACGCAAAATCCATATTCCCACAGTTTAAATAATTACTGCGTGCTTGTCATTTTTAATGTAAAAATATTATACATTTTAAAAGTAGTATTTATTTACAATTATTTGCTGTTAAGTTATTCCCAAAACTATTCAGAAATTATTTATTTTTTCCCAATGCCACTGTTTAGCCTTTGATTTTAGCCGACAAATGAGCGCGCAAAACTTCGCTTCCTTATTTGGTGTTTAATTTTCAATTTATAAAAAAATTTAACACTAATATCTGTCTGTGTTTTTCTTCGGCAACCTTGGTAATAAAAAATTTTTTGAAAGTAAAAAGATTGGTTTGAAAATGCTAAGCGACGACTTAATTAAAAAGTCACATGCGGCTTACACAAGTAAAGATATATGTACATATCTTAAAGCTAAATATTTATGTTGAATGTTGAGCGCTAAAATGGAACTCATTCCATTTACACAGTGACTTACTTATGGATATTTATACATACATACATACATATGTACAAACAAACGTTTCATGTCTGAAGGCAGGAGCGGCAAGTTGAAATGATTGGTAATTAATATATTGCAGACATAAATATTTGTGTATGTACATACATACATAGTTGCACATTTTCATAGCTATTACATAATTGTGCGTTCTTGTTGTTTTTATGCCCTCGAAGTCTAAATAAGGTTAATAGCTGCAGTGAAGTAATTGTGGCTGGATTTTTCTTTTCATACCAACATGTTCGTTACCAAATTTATTAGAGCAAATTTGTCGATTTAATCGCTGCAGCAATGAGTCATTCATTCACTAACATATCCACATTTAGATCGACTGCCCACAGTGCTGCATGATGGATAATTAAGTTTCGATGCAAATTGTATGCAAATGACCCATTAAAGTTGACATTTAAATAGATTTCGAAAAAAAGTGTGTTGCATTTTAGTCCACAATTTTGAACGTTAATGGCTCCTGAAACACACCCAGATGGTAGATAAATGTGCACATGTACGTATACGTAACATGTTGAAGAATGGAAACTAAATAATGAAAGGAAGTGTTGTAGCAGTTGCAAGAGATTAAACTAAATTGTTTTTTATTTTGACAAGGAAAAGTTTCACTAATTAATTATTTGATTTTGTTATTGATTGTCTCAAATAATCGGTCCCGAAAAGTAATTGATTTATGCTAACTATTTGGTCAATAAATTAAATTCATCAACTGATTATTTTCCAATAAACTTCTTCTAATAAAATTTTTGGTAAGCCCTAAATATGCTATACTAAGAAACTTATGTCGTACCATAAAATATGTCATGCCATTAAATTTGGAATGCTATAAAATATGTCTAGGCAAAAAGTTTTTTACAATAAAATATTCATAAAAATATCATTATTCAATAAAACCCGTTGCACACCACTATACTTATTTTCTTAACGGTACTGAGATATTGCATTATTTTTTTACAGGTAAATAAGCATCACAATGGAAATGAAGGGCCGAAAGCGATTGAGTAGTGGTTACAAATCACGGGTTATCACAAAGCCATATTATGTGGACAAACTCCCAAAAAAAGTTAAAATGTAAATATTAAAATCTTTTCTGTGGGTGCATTTGTATATACACATTTTTATAACTCTTACCGAATTTCCAGTAGGTATTAAACTGACAAAAAATATATATTATTTAAAAAAAATGCCATGTGGAAATGAACATAATGACAATTTTACTAACATAATGACACGAATATTTTTTAATGCCCAACTTTGTTATTTGTCATTTTTGCCATTTAATGCCTAGTGGAAATCCAGCATAATGCTGTATTAAATGGCAAAAATGACAAATGACAAAGTTGGGTATTAAAAAATATTTATGTCATTAAGTTAAAAAAATAGTCACTAAGTTCATTTCCACATGGCATTTATTTAAATGGCATACATTTTTTGTCATTTCAATGCCTAGTGGAAATTCGGCATAAGTAATAAGAATTTTCTTTAAATCTAGAAAATCAAATTCGATAATAATGTTTTACCAAAAATTATGGTATACCATAAAACATGTTGCGCTTAAAAAGCTATTAGTGTAATTTCAGTCATACATATATTTTTAGCTATTGATATGGTATACCAGAATTTATGGTATACCATAGTATATGGAAAACTTTCAAAAATAGTTTGCAATATAGGTATTAAAATCAAAAAAAAAATGTAAAATATGTACGGGTACATACTTTTTTTACCAAAAATTATGGTACGCGATAGCATGCCCTATGCATTATTGACACTAGTTAAATGCATGACTAAGAGTAAATTTGTTCATAGGTTTTAGGTAAAACTTTATACGTTGTATGCCGGGCTGAAGAGCTCCAGCCAGTTTTAAGCTTTGGACATAGCGAAACTTCGCCTTCATAACTGCCATACCTCCATATGCCAGTCGTAAACAGCAATGGGAATAAAACTTCTCAAACAATTAACAAAATCGAGCATAGTTAATATATTTAGTTTATACTTGTAGTTAAAGGTTCTTTCGTTAAAAGGCATGTATGCAAAACAATCATAAACACGAAACAATTTCGCTTAAATTTGCAATTCACCATTAGACGTTCGCATTAAATGTACTTTTATGTGAATTTGTTTATAGCCGCCCACTAGCAGCCACTAGCAGCTAAAGCAGTTTGTAAAAATAGCTAAATATACAAAAATGACGGATTGAAAGCGATTTTAATGCAGCTGAAGTGATTTTACTCGACTTGTTAGTTCAAAAGAACAAAGTCGAAATGAGGTACACACAAATATACTCACTTATTTACTTGCGTACATACATGCTGAGCAAAATGGAGTGGCTTTGTGTAGGCTAAGGCTATACACTTGAGCGAACTTGTGTACTTTAATGTCGTTGAATTTCGCATAACTGATCTAATGGCAAAATCATATTTGCTAGTTTGTATTAGAATGAAACTTGGAAAAAGATAAATGCTCAAGTGGGTGCACATGTACTTGGACAGCCAATGTCTGTCTTAGTTGTACTTGGGTGTGCCACAAGCTGTGGTTAAGTAAATCGAGTATGCAAAAGTCAGTGCAACCAAAATTGGTGCTGCAGTGAGGTTTTTTACAAAGCAAAAAATATGAAGTAATCAAAAAATAAAGCACATTGTAATAAAAAGTAATAAATATGAATGACATTCCAGGTCTAGCAACAATCACAGCCAAATATTCAAAGTGTTCTTTGATGAAAAAAAACACACAAAAGCAGTTAAATAGATTTTGTAAAGCAAAATTTGCTCGGTG